TATCGCCTGCCAACAGACAATCACAGCCGAGCAAAACTGTTCAACTGTTCATCGCCAACGTCATTCGACTGCACGGACTGCCACCGCAATTATTTCTGACCAAGACCCGAAATTCACATCGAATTTTCTGGCGCCACTTGTGGGACAGTTCGGCACCAAACTACAGTTTTCCTCTGCCTACCCACCACACATCGACGGGCAGACCGAACGAGTCAACCAAACTATGGAGCAACTCATTCGGACCACCTGTACTGACCCCAGACATGGGAGAAATCCCTTCCGCTACTGGAATTCGCGTATAACAACGCACCCTCCGCGACAACGCATCAGTCCCCGTTTTTCCTAAATCACGGACAGGACCCAGTGGTGCCCTCTATCCGAATATCGAGACACCCGTGCCCTGGTCCCAGAAATTTGTTGAAGACATTCTCGCCGCCAGAGAAAAAGCAGCCGAGGCCATCCGGAAAGCCAAACTGGTCGCAAGCCGACAAGCCGATCGCCATTGACGTGACGTCACTTACAATGTGGGAGATCTCGTCCTCCTCGACACTCGCAATTTGCGGCTGCCGATCCCGAGCAAACTCCGGCCCAGATTCTGCGGACCCTTTCAAGTGACGAATATGGTGAACCTATCACGGCTCACCTCCGACTCCCGGCTGATTGGCGTCACCACCGGCGTTCCACGTTAGCCTCTTACGACCCTACGTCCCCAGTTCGTTAGACTTGGCGCGCCAACGCGCTGTACCGCAACTGACGCCTCTGCAGGAACCGACAACCGAACCTTTGAAAATTCTCAGCCGTCGAGTCACGACGCAGCTGAACCGTCGGATGGTTGATTTTCTCGTCCGCTGGCGCGATCGCACGTCCGAAGACGACAGCTGGGTGCCGCTCGCTAAGCTAGAATCACAACCGATTCTAACAGCGTATTATCAGCGTCGGAATGTTTCCGATGCCCGCGGTCTCGTTTTAGGAGGGGGGGGGGGGGGGGGTAGTGTAAGGAATTTCCATTCCTTACTAAATCGTACGCTAGCGTATACACCCGACTTCCTCGATTCGTCACGTTCGGCCTCAATTATCGGCTCAAACCTTCCCCGAGTCGCGTCCGGCACTGTTGCCACATTGCCGAACCTACCCACGTTGCGAGGTTATCGCCCTAGTACGCCAACTCCTATATAACCTCGTGCCTTCATTGCAATAGCGACCTTGTATTCTCACGTTATAGTACATTGACACTTCATATTTCATAACATCGAGGGTTCTCCACTCGAAAGGTTCAAGGTACTTCGAGCCTTGAAGTTATTGTATACTTTCGATTTAAACGTTCAATAAAAACAAAGGGTGTTGGCATGAATACTAGGAGGTAACACGTGACTGGCTAGGGCGTGGTACTTTTTTCTGTTTTCGAAAACGATCCTACTTTTGAAGCGAACAAAACTTTCGCTCGTTTGGTAAAGGTTCACAGTCGAGTGTTTGTTTTCGGAAACAAACCTTCGACACGAACATCGCGACACAAAACTGGGTTTCGGCGAACAAAAAATGTCGCAGCTGCGAGTAGCACAAAAATGCCCCAAATCCTGCCCCGAACGAAACAGAGTTTTTCGTTTATTACGAAGTGTCGTTTCGTTCACGTCGCCGAATCTCGTTACAAAGTTTTGTTTCGTCTACGTCGGCGAATGTCGTCAAGTTGCAACATTATTCGAACGCTGGGTGTTCGTGAGTGCGGGTTTAGAAATTCCAGATCTGTCACCTATTCGCGACAGCCTGTTGACGAGGCTATTCGCGACGCTAACGAAACAATACCCGAACAGATTCAGTGAACCGATCGAAATGTACTACGCCCTCTATGTATTGGTGATTTGCCTTCAAAAATTTGGTTATCAAGACTCCCCACCCCAACGGGCGCCTGGGGTTCAATTCCAATCCACCTGTCATGGCAGCATTTTGTGTGATTTCGATTGCACAGGGACGCCACAGCCACAGGCAGCAGGGCAGGCTCACTGCCAAGGGCCACTTTTTGGTTTGGTTAGGTTGGGCTGGGGCGGGCGTAGCGCGCTGAATCGCCTCGCTATGCTGCCCTGGATTCGCAGATGGCCCCCACAGGCTCGGTCAACTGTTTGCCCAAATCTAACGGAACGTGGTAACCTGTCGTTCTTCGCTTCGTGGCAGTATTGAGAGGACTTCCCAGAGTTCGTTGTCGCAGGTGGTGGTCACAGAGGTCCTTTTGTGCAGAGGGCAGCATGCAATGTGTAACATAATAAGGACGTGAAACATGATTGTTTCGGCGTTCATTTGGCGGTCTTCAAATTTCAACCCCCCCAAACGGGTTACCACCAACGCAATACAGTAGTCCCTTGTGCAGCAGGCCCCGTTGTGCAGTTGTGCCCACAAGTCAGACACGACGAGGGAGGAGAATCAATCAAACAGCGAAGGGGGTTCGAGGGAAGGAGAGGATTAGGGACCGCCAAAGTCGCCCATTTGAGAAGCGAACAAATCAGCACATCTGGCAATGCAATGTAGCGACACATTCGAGCTAGACGCCAAAAATGGCCAACGCCCTAGTGCCCAATCAAACTTATCTCGACCAAATGCGTCGCGGACTCGTCGCGAGACGATAAAGCCTCCCTTGAACAATGCAGACAGTTATGTGAGAGGAGATTCCTTTGGCATGGGAGCATAGGAACTTACTTCCTCCAACAATACCATAGCCTGCCGAAGCAGTCACTGCTTACGTGAAGTCCCCGTAAGTCCCGCCGCCATGGGATCACGACGAGTACAAGGTCCGACCTTGGCATGCAACCAAGATGACGTCATCCCTCGCCTCGACCGCAGCCAAAGCTACCACAACACCAGGCCCGCAGATCGCGGCGCAAATAACAGTCATCCCCGCCATTCCCGCACCCAGAGCATGAGCGGCTGGAACAGCCGCGGCGAGCAAGCCACGTCAGCAGCAATATCTGTTCCTGAAATGCCGGAAACCCCGCCCCAACTCTGCCTGCCTCCCAGCGTGACTGAGAGGAAGCTGGCTTTGCGGCGCGGGATAAGCGGGGAAAAGGCGGGAGAGCCGTCGGGTAAAGGTGGGAATCGCGTCAGCCGTGATGGATACAGCACACGTGGCAGTTCGCGACAGGCCCTGCCGCCTGGGACGGTGGAGGCCCAGGCTGCTTCGACCCAGCCTTCTGCTCGTCGGATTCCCGTCGACCGTTACTCGCATCCCGTCATCGTCGTCTTGACGGACGGAACTGCGCGACTGTACGACAACGTCGCAGGCAGCCTGCTCGTCGCAAACGTCTTGCGCGACTTCCCGCGACACCACCTCGCGCTTTCCACCTTCGCGCCGATTCCGCTTCCCTCTACCCGCCCGCTGCGACGCGGAGTCACGTACCACTTAATCGACGCACCGCGTAAGGCGGACGACGGCGGCGCGTCGGCTGTAAATGAGCGAAACGCAAGACTTTTCAAGGGGTTTATCAGGAGCAGTAGTGCTCCCAGTGATAGAACATGTGCTACTGGTGATAATCCACGGAGCAGTGGCGATTATGCTACAAGCATCAGCAGAGCTGCTACTACTAGTAGTGCTGTTACCGTTGGCAGCGCGCCGATTTCAGGCCGAAGCGGCGCGGAGGTGCCGCCTCGCCCGGCGCGGCCGCGCAGTTACGACGCCATTCCGATTGCTCCAGTGATTTTGGAGTCGACTCAAAAGGCACGGCGGCGCAGTTTCGACACCATTCCGATCGCTCCGGTGATTTTGGATTTTGGGCAGAGTCAGGAGGACGAGACTCCGGATCTTCGTCGGACTTCAACCGTGCGAAATGGCTCGCGAACTTCGCATTCTCCTTCGGAAGACGAGCTGAGCGTTGAGCGAACGAAGGGGAAAGACAACAGCAACGCGCGCTCGACTTTTTCGCGTTTCGCCACTCTGAACTCTCGGCCGGAGCCACCAGCGGAGAGATTCGCGCAGAAGATGGTGCGAGCGCGCACCTACTCGGGCTCGAACAGGCGTAGTCGACGAACTGCATCTGAAATCCCTAATATGGACACTGGCTCGCCTGGAGTACAATTTTAGCGACTAGCTCACCTAGTCCACGTAGTAGTAGTCTCTGGCGTTGGCTTGGGTGAGCAATAGAGATGCAAACAAGAAAGCAACCGTCGTTCACGTGCGAGTTTCCGTCGCACGAAGTGTCGCTGGTTTCGCCACCAATCGAGTTACCCAAAAAACAGTGTCATTGAGCATTAGGCGAGTTTGGCACCGTGCTGACAGCCAAAGCCCAGAAAGAGATCGTCCAGAATCCCCGATACTACCACACTCGGTTGGTGCCAGCGTGCAAGGCCATGCTTCTGGCTAGTTTAAAAAAAAAAAAGTGCCCACATGAAATTAAACTTGAAACTTGGAAGCTAAGGGAAAGCACACATGAATATTTCGAAGTCAAAATTAAACCAGAAGATAGCGGTTATTGCAACAGTGCCCAATTGATTGGATTGGTGGAAGGCTGCCCTTGCCATTGGAACCACTTTTTGATATAATATAATGGAAAAGCAACAAACACAAAAGCAAGTGAAGCTGCGGAAGGAACTGGATGAGCGAATATTGATGTCACCACAAGGAAGCTGTAACATAAAAAAAGATAAAAACAACACAAGGGGACGAATGGAGGAGACGTCAGATCAGACTACATGGCACGAGCATCTTCACAACAGTAATAGCACACTTACACTGTGGAAAACATAACGTCAACGAAAGCAGCGATGGGAGGAAGCGGGTAGAAGCGAATCTGGTGTGGCATCGGGCCGTTGGGAGTGTCTGTAGCTCAGTAGTGCACCCTCAGACACTCGCACACTCAAACACTCAAGCAGCAGCAACGGGAGCACACTCACGCAGCAGCAACGAGCGCAATGATGGGAGGGGGCGGGTAGAAGCGCGCCTCATAAGGCCTCGGGCCATCGGGAGTGTCCGCAGCTCAATACCAAACTCACACTCAAACTCACACTCTGAGCAGCAACCATTGCACACTCACAATGCGGCGACCAGAGCAATGATGGGAGGCAGTGGGTAGAAGCGCGCCTCATACGGCCTTGGGCCGTCGGGAAATGCCCATCGGAGCTTAAAAAGAGCTGCTGCTACCGCTCCGTAGAATATCCACGTGGCAATGCCAAAGTAGTCAAGGAGCTGTACGGGGAAGGAAGGAAGAAGAGCATTAGGGAGTGGGATAATGTGGGGCTGCAAAGCGAGCTTCAAGGGAGTTGCTGCCACTGCTCCATGATTGGACCGGCATTCACATGTTGCTTAGAGCCAGACAGGACGGGACGTAAGCTGAGGCGGCCCCCGCAGGTGAGGTGCCGCTCGCGGCAAGTTTCGCAGCTGAGGTTGCCACA